GAGTTTCAAAATTGAGTACATCTTTGAGTGCAGTTACTATAAAGTGCTTTCTTGACTATTAAATTGTTTTTCAATTTGTTCATACGCTGAAAGCGATCTTCACTTTGGAACATACACCCACTTAAAAGCTTTTGTTCAAAATATTACTGATTGGATGGGAATAGTTTTTAAAAAATTAATGAACAAGAAAATTGCAACTGTGAACCCTTCCAAACACAAACTGTGAGACCTAAATACGAGACCTTATGTGAGACCCTAAAAGCCTCAAAGAAAAAAATTTTAAACTGACATATTAGAGATATAATTGTCAGGCCCTGCACCCCACCCTGGAGACTGCAGCCTGCTATACCATGATGAATACCCTGGCATCCGGTACTATGTAACTGGAAACATTCTGCTTCTGTAAACTGATTGCTTGCTGAGCTACCCAGAAATTCAAGATATAAACCCTTTGTAACTGGAGCTCGGGGCTCCTGTCACTTCCAAATGTCACAGTCCCTGCTGCAGGAATAAAGCTGTTTGAATTTGACTTCCGTGTAGTGGTTCTTTGGGTACAAGAAGAACAGGTTGTCTCTCACAGGCTTCCCACACCTAACTCTAATCTCCTCAGCCTCACCTCCGGTCAACCCCACCATCACCAAGACAACTGCTGTACATGGACAGAGATTCATGGTGTCCCCATGTTTGTCAGAGTAGAACTGTGCCCCACAGGGTTCTCAGTGGATTTTTCTTAAGTAGATACCCTCATGGTGCCCTGTATCAGAGTAGAACTATGCCCCACAGGGTTCTCAGTGGATGATTTCTCATAAGTAGATCCCAGTCATGGTGCCCCTGTGTATGTCAGAGTAGAACTGTGCCCCACAGGGTTCTCAGTGGATGATTTTTCATAAGTAGATCCCACTCATGATGCCCCCGTGTGTGTCAGGGTAGAACTGTGCCCCACAGGGTTCTCAGTGGGTGATTTCTCATAAGTAGATCCCACTCATGGTGCCCCCGTGTGTGTCAGAGTACAACTGTGCTCCACAGGGTTCTCAGTGGATGAGTTTTCATAAGTAGATCCCAGTCATGATGCCCCATATTTGGCAGAGTAGAACTGTGCCCACAGGGTTTTCTCAGTGGATGAGTTCTCATAAATTCTACTCATGGTCCCCCATGTGTGTCAGAGAACTGTGCTCCATTGTTTTCAAGGTTGTCATCTTTACATATTGCCTGCCCTTTCTCCCACTCAGCCCATGGGTAGGACCAAACCACCACCATTTATATCACTGTCATTTGTAGAAACCTGGAGTTTACTAGGATTCACAATGACCCATGATTGCCTGAGTTGAAGTGCCCTCTCTGTTGGGTTTTTGGGTCATCTTTACAGAATCTAAACACCAGGTCCTTCTTCTTTGGCACAGCAGGGTAGGATGAGACCTCCATCCTCTAGGTTTCTGTGCTCTGTGTGGTTTTGGTATAATCGATTCAGACTCATAGTAACACTATGCTGTGCAGACAGGGTTTTCTAAGACTGTGATTTTATTTTTTAGAAACAGATCTCCAGTCCTTTCATACAGTCCTGCTAGGGAGATTCCAACCTCCCACAGCGACATTAGCCGCTGAGTGCAAACTGTAAGGGACACCCAGATACCCAGGGCAGAATCCTCCCCTCATCAGGTCCTCTGTCTGTCTGTACTGGAGAAAATCAGTCCCTGTGCAGCCCATGAGCCCACAGACCAAAGCTTTGAAGGACAGACACACTACCCAGGGAACCAGCTGACCACAGCCTCCAACAGGAAGAACATTCTGGTCCACTGGAGGAGGAATTCGTATCTGATACCCCACCCAGAAAACCCACTTGCGTCTAGTCGATTGTGAATCGTGACAGCGCCACTGCACAGAGTGGAACTGTCCCTGGGCATTTCTGAGGCTGTACATCTTCATGGAAGGAGCACTCAAGATACCAGACAATTTATTAAGACAAATCTGCTGCACAAAGACTCTTTAAAGAATTTAAGAGCAGAGACGTCCGTATATGTATTGTTAATACACACAGATATGTATGGAGTCCTGGTGTGGCGCTGTGGGTTAATGCGTCAGACTGCAAAGCCATTTGAACTGCAAGGTTGGCGGTTGAAGCTCACCAGCTATTCCTCAGAAACCCTATCCAGGGTCGCTATGTGTCAGAACTGACTCAAGGGCACTTAACAACAACATACATATGTATAGGGAGCTCTGGGAGCCAAGTGGTTACGAATCGGGCTGCTAACCTCAAGGTCAGCAGTTTGAAACTACCAGGTGTTCCATAAGAGAAAAATGAGGGTTCTGCTCCCATAAATATTTACAGCCTCAGAAACCTTATAGAGGGTCGCTAGGAGTTGGAACCCACTGCACAACACACCACCACCACCATAGATATGTATGCTGGTAAGCGCCTTCGAGTCAGCTCCTCCCCATAGGGACCTTGCCACATTCAACGAACGTATTTCTTACAGAATTCCAATTAGTACACATAGAAGAATTGATTGGAACAAAAATTTGGGAAACACCACAGTAATCATACACAGGTAGTAATTAACAATGGCTTTGTTGTAGTTGTTAGGAACCATCGAGTTGGGACTGACTCATAGCGACCTTATGCACAGCAGAACCAAACACTGCCACATCCAGGGCCAACCTCACTACTGTTGTCACGCTTGAGTCCATCGATGTTACCACTAGGTCAATCCATCTCGTTGGGGGTCTTCCCCTTTATCTCTGACATTCCATCTTACCAAACATGTTATCGTTCACTGTGGAAAAACAGTGGACCGGGAGCTACAGGTTCACAATTCAAGTCCACCAGCTGCTCTGTGGGAGAAAGATGGGGCCTTCTGGTTCTGCAGAGATTTATGGGCTCAGAAACCCGATACAGAGTCACTATGAGTTGGAACAGACTTGACTACATGAACAGAAAGTTAACGTATTATGAAAATCAGAAAATCTGTAGTCTCAAAGTATCACCCTATGAGACACTACGTATAAAATTAAGAACACTGAACTCAAAATATGACAGAATTGAAGGAAATGTATGAAAACTAAACACTCAAACACAGCACAACATCAATGTAATAAAGTATGCACAATATAATGCAAGAGTCCAGCTCTATCAAGGTCGTGAGACTCGAGAGAAGACACAGAATTGGTGAAACTGAAAGTAATCGGGGAGTCTCTGCTTTGTTGGCTGATGGAGCTCACTGCCCCGCTCAGCAACAGTCTTTATTTATACTTAAAGTTACACAGTGCATAATGATTTGACACTTTGATATTTTCCCTTGAATTATTACACATTTTTAATTATATCATTCTTTCATCTTTTGATTACAAAATCTTAACAAAAGTATTTCTATATTGTCCCACCTGACCTTTCCATATCCTGTTCATTTTGTGACCAGTATTTTTCTTCTGACATCATCTCCTTTTCTACATAAGTGATACAATGTATTTTCCTATTCCTACTAAAAGGTCAAGTTAAACCTTATACAAATCATTTCCCCTTCCCAAATCCCTGATTACATTCTCTAATACAAGTTTCTATCGACTCAATCATCTTTGCTTACACTAGCTTACTGTTTCTACTACTTATTTATCAATCTTTCATCCTACATAAAGTACCACTTTCTACAGTAACAACATTACTAACATCTATACTAACAGTGTTTCTATGTTTCCTTACCTTTGGGGCCATGAGGCATGTTAAAGGGCCCCACCAGGTTAATTGCTGCAGGAAAGGTAGACTATTAAATTTTGCCCACCTTTTATTTATGTTCACCATTCTCTGCCCAATTACATAGGTTCCTATATGTGGTAGTGGGGGTTTTGTGGATTCTGGCCGGTAATTGACTTAGGTGTGGTCTATAGGGGTCAGTCAGCTTCACTTTAGATTTTTATCTGTTTCTGTGATCTCACAAATGCAGCTGCTTTGTATTCAGGTTTTCTGTTGAGAGGGAATAGGTCATGCTGCCTTAATTTATCCAAAATTCTCTTTGAATCTAATCCTGAAAAGTTGAAACAATTGTTGCAAGACTGGTTTTTCCTAAACTCTGCAGAACTCACATTGGGAGCCGTGAATGTGGCAGTACAATACATCCCCAAAAGTGGAATCAGAACCATCCCAAAGAAGAGAGATAAAGGGTGCTCCCCTCAAAACCATCTGCTGTGCTGATGTCTCTCCTTTGCAGGGACTGTGTCAAAGGGTATCAGGGAGTTGGCTCCCAGCAATATAACATAATCAAATCATTACAAAATAGAAAACCACATTTACTCAAGGATATTTCCCGAGACTTTACTATAGTAACCAAAGATTTAAAGAGAGATAAAATTAATTATGGAATAATAATATATCAAACATTGTTTAGGATATATCCCTGCAGTTACAATGAAACTGTCATGTTTCTGTGAGAACTTTGCTCACTTCACAGTAGCTTTATAGAAGAAACATCTAACAATGGACATAAAGAAGTCTTTTCTCTATGAACCCTTTTATGTACAGTGAGGTGTGAGACCTGCATAAATGCTTTCTCACACTCCTGACATTCATAGGGCCTCTCTATATTATGGAATCACTTGTGTGCACTGTCTCGTAAGGCAAATGTGAAAGCTTTCCCACACTCCTTACATTCATATGGTTTCCCTCTACTGTGCACTCTTTATGTGAAAGGAGGGTTAAGTGATGATTTAACATTTCCTCACATGATGAGGCTTTCTGCTCCCATAAAGATTTCCAGCCTCGGAAACCCTGTACAGGATCCCTATAAGTCGGAACGGACTCCACAGCACATAACCACCACCACCATCACATTCCTTACTTTCATAGGGTCTTTCTCCACTGTGGATATTTCTATGTGATCTGAAACTTGAGAAATGGGTTAACCTTTCCCCTGATTCCTTATACCCATAGGGTCTCACCACTGTGGATTCTTCTATGTACAGTAAGGGCTGAGGCTCTTGTAACGGCTTTCCCACCCACACTCCTTACATTTTTAAGGTCTCTCTCCACTATGAATTCGCAAATGTATAGTGAGGGAAGAGGAACAAGTAAAGGTTTTTCCACATTCTTTACACTCATAAGGCCTCTCTCCACTGTGGATTCTTCTATGTTGTGTGAGGCTTGAGGCCTGAATAAAGGCTTTCCCACACTGTGTACATTCATAGGGCCTCTCTCCACTGTGGATTCTTCTATGTTGTATGAGATTTGAGGCCTGAACAAAGGCTTTCCCACACTCTGTACATTCATAGGGCCTCTCTCCACTGTGGATTCTTCTATGTGCTGTAAGATGTGAGGTTCTTCTAAAAGCTTTGCCACACTCCGTACATTCATAGGGCCTCTCTCCACTGTGGATTCTTTCATGTCTGCTAAGGTGTGCAGTTCTTCTAAAGGCTTTCCCACACTCCTTACATTCATAGGGCCTCTCTCCACTGTGGATTATTGTATGTGTTCTGAGGCTTGAAGGTGTTGGAAAGACTGTCCCACACTCCTTACATTCATAGGGCCTCTCCACACTGTGGACTCCTCTATGTGTTTTAAGTTGTGAAGTAGTTCTAAATGCTTTCCCACACTCCTTACATTCATAGGACTTCTCTGCACTGTGGATTCTTCTATGTATTCTAAGGTATGAGGTGCTTTTAAAGGCTTTTCCACACTCTTTACATTCATAGGGCTTCTCTCCACTGTGGATTATTGTATGTCTTCTAAGGTGTTCAGTTCTTCTAAAGGCTTTTCCACACTCCTTACATTCATAGGGCCTCTCTGCACTGTGGATTCTTCTATGTGTTTTAAGGTTTGAGGTTCTGCTAAAAGCTTCCCCACACTCCTTACATTCATAAGGCTTCTCTCCACTGTGGATTCTTCTATGTGCAGCAAGGTATGAGAAAACCCTAAAAGTTTTCCCACAAGTCTGACATTCATAAGGCCTCTCTCCACTATGAATTCGCTTATGAATACTGAGGCTTTGGGAAGAATTAAAGGCTTTTCCACATTCTTTACATGCATAGGGTCTCTCTCCACTGTGGATTCTTCTATGTGTTCTGAGGCTTGAGGCACCCAGAAAGGCTTTCCCACACTCCTTACATTCATAGGGCCTCTCTCCACTGTGGATTCTTCTATGTGTTCTGAAGCTTGAGGCATCCAGAAAGGCTTTCCCACACTCCTTACATTCATAGGGCCTCTCTCCACTGTGGATTCTTTTATGAGTTGTAAGGTATGAACTTGTTCTAAACGCTTTCCCACACTCCTTACATTTATAGGGCCTCTCTGCAGTGTGGATTATTCTATGTATTCTAAGGTATGAAGTGCTTCTAAAGGTTTTCCCACACTCCTTACATTCATAAGGCTTCTCTCCACTGTGGATTATTGTATGTGTTCTGAGGCTTGAGGGTGTTCGAAAGCCTTTCCCACACTCCTTACATTCATAAGGCCTCTCTGAACTGTGGGTTCGCATGTGTCTCCTGCACTGTGAGTACACTCTAAAGGCTTTCCCACACTGCTTACATTCATAAGGCTTTTCTCCGCTGTGGATTCTTCTATGTGCTGTAAGATGTGAGGTTTTTCTAAAGGCTTTTCCACATTCTTTACATTCATAGGGCCTCTCTCCACTGTGGATTCTTGTATGTGTTCTGAGGCTTGAGCGTATTAGAAAGCCTTTCCCACACTCCTTACACTCATAGGGCCTCTCTCCACTGTGGGTTCGCATGTGTATTCTGCACTGTGAGTACAGTCTGAAGGCTTTCCCACATTGCTTACATTCATAAGGCTTCTCTCCGCTATGGATTCTTTTATGTGCAGTCAGTTCTGATGTATACCTAAAAGTGTTCCCACACTCCTTACATTCATAAGGCCTCTTTACATTGTGGACTGTTTTATGTCTTGTGAGCCTTGAGGTATGGCTAAAGGCTTTCCCACATTGATTACATTCAGAGAGCCTGTCTCCAATGTGAGTTTGCAAATGTCGACTCTGCTGTGAGAAATCCCTAAAGGATTTCCCACACTCTTTACATTCAAAAGGCCTCTGTCTGCTGTGAGTTCTTATATGTCCAGGGAGGAGTGAAGCTTCACCAGAGACTTTCCCACACTCCCTATATTCATGTGGCCTGTCTCCACTTATTTTACGTTTATGAGTATTTTTCCTATTATGAGTGTTCACAGGAGTGGTCAGGTGAGAAGGACTCCTGCAGTCTTCTCCACAGTCCGGACACTGACAGGTACTGCTTCCAGTGTGAACTCTACTACGATTGTTCTCTAGGGAATGATCCAGGAAGGCTTCTCCATACTCACAGCATTCAATAGGATCTACTCCTGTGGGATCTACTTGGTGCACAGAAAGACCAGGAATCGGGCTGGAGGATTCCCCGCACTGGTTGCTCTCAGAATGTTCACCCAGGTTCTCAACTGCACCAATTCTGTTAAAAACAGGGAGTGTAAATGTGGACCAATGGTGTCCTCGGCAAACTACTCTATTCTCAAACAAGAAGACAAGAAAAAAAAAGTCAGTTATCGTGTTGGAAACAAATGTTGTCACATGACAGCATTAACAAACACAGTAAACGTGCATGTCTTTTTCCTGAATTGTCTCAAGATTCATCTAGGACAACGACTACCATTTCCGTCAATGTGTAAGACTTCCTCCTCATTGTGTCCAAGTGAAATATGCTTTAAACATTTCACTGACTAATACTTACGAAAACGTTCTTATGTGAATTTTCACGGAATTCATCGTTTTACAGCCAGGAATATACACATGGGTCCTGATGAAGGATTAACACTAGGTCGCATGCTATATTTGACTCACAAAGTGTAACGACTTCATGACATGGAACAACAGCTACTCCTTGGAAAGTCAACAAAGGGTTGCTAAAAGTCAGAACTGACAAGGCACACACAACACATATTTATCAGTAGGCTGCAGGGATTCAAACCACTTTGGAACGACTCAGCCATTTCCAACATAAATGAGAAAAGTGTCCAGATTGCATAGCAATCAAAACTGTTGCTTAATAGAATTTGATTTGATGAAGAAACAATCACTGGTACTGCATTTAATGATGGTGAGCAAACCACCAATATGAACGTGTTGCTCTAAACACTCCTGCAACACCAAACACCTGCATGGATACTAAGAGTCTTATATCACACACCGGATATGTTGTAGGACTCTGGAGATCAAAAAACATTTAGAGCTGTGCAGCCTGCCACCATATCTGAATGGCACACAACTGAAGGTTTCTTAATTGACTCACAATTTAATAGGCAAGAGATTTGACTGTTGGGAAATGCATACGCAAAACCTTCATGTGTCCAGTAATTACTGAATCAAAATTGTTCACAGAATGATGCAATTGAAAGATGATGGAGTTCTCCATGAACTATTTGGAGACCCCTCATTTCAGTGTATTTTGATGTTATGACACCTCCTGAGATTTTGTGAAGCACTAATTTCTGTTGTTTGAATCACACTTACCTCAAATGTCTCTCTTGGTTGTCAAGGTGATCCTTCCAGTCACGTGATTTCTTAATTGCACCTGCGATGCATAACAACAAGGTGTTACTCTTCAGATATCATATGATTAAATGCTCCCTGGGTAATTTTTCTCCATCATTAATGGTTTCAGCCACTGATCCAATCATTCAGGTTAAAGTTCACAATTAGAATCAAATGGGAATGATTAGAGGAAACAGAGGTTCCTAGTAAAAGAGACTCAGCTCCATTTTGCTATTCCAGAGCTTTGACAAGTGTTAAAATGCAATTTACTAGGAAATACTTCTATCAGGATGGAGAGGGACAGTAACATACACCGGTATCATTAGGAGAGCTAAGTAGAAAGGAATTAGACATACCACACATGTAACGTTACAAAGGCAAAGGGTCTCCGTGTCCACAGGTGCTAAAGGACAACTAAAATCAACAGAGTAAGTTCAGGTATCTGTGAAGTTGGGTCTGCAAGCCAAAAGAAACTTTTTGAAGCTAACAGATTTCCTTCATTCACAGGCTACAATTACATTTCCTCAGCCTTCCTGACACATGGGCCTCAGTGACTGTGATTTCCAGTCTCCTCAGATTTTTCCTTAGCTTCTCTGAGAAAACAAATGGGTAGAGCTACCACAGAGCTCAGGAGTCCTACTGCAGTGGTGTAGGATAAAACCCCCAGACCCCTCTAGGAAAATGTACACAAGTTCCCTAAGCATTGAAACCGAGGTATTGACAGTTCACAACAACATGGATCTCATGGAGAAATGTACATCACAAGGAAGGCCTTGATGAACAATTAAAGATTCCTTGTCACTGAGATAGTGCTCTGTTCTCTAGGAGCTCTGATGATTGAGAGATGTGAGTTTATATGCATCAAAATCATGACATCAAACTTGCCAGAAACCCAATAAATGTCTCAGAAAGGAACACACAGGACAAGTCTCTCAGTGCATGAAAGTGTCCCCTGAAGTCAATGCTATGCTGATGGCACTTAGAGAGGCCCAAGGCTTATTTTATTCACAAGAGAAATGAAAGCTCAGTTTAGTGCACAGAGCTTTGTATTACGGGAATCTTGGATACATGAGCTCCATATAGAAGGGGACCATGCCTTTTATTTACAGGGCGTTCCCATTGCTCATTCCATATAAGCAAGCACAATTGATGAGTAAAATATTTTTGTTCACTAAAGGAATAAAAAAAAAGAAAATGGAAGATGCCATTCATACCGACTGAAGCCAGGTTTCTCAAAGTTTCCACCATCACGTCTCTGTAGAGTTTTCTCTGAGCAGGATCCAGCAAATCCCACTCTTC